TCCATCGTAGCAGTGTGCTCAGCGCGCACGGTTGCACAATTTGTCAACGTTCACAACACGTCCAGTGTTCATACGCGATCACTTGCGAATCACACTTCTACGGGTCCAGTCTATGTTTGGGCATCGTGCACCAGCGCTGGGGCTTCGAAAGACGTCTTTCGAATTCTGAAGCCCAGTCGGTTTTCCAGAAGTATGGCATGCAGGGGCAAGGTTCACATGTGGGTGCTCAGCCGTCAGCGTTCACCACTCGCATCTGCCGCCTGCTGGTCCGTCAGCACCTGCAGCCTGCCGGCATGAGGGCCCTTGACGGCCTGCGCCGCGCCAGCGCTTCGGTGCGCGGCGCGAGGCAGCTGTCTCTCCCCGTAGCCAGCCAAGCCTTCTCGCGGCGCTGTGCTTTTGGTCTCGGGCGTGTGACACGCTCCGCCTTGCGCCGATGGCTGCCCGCGAGGGCGTCGTCGCGCGTAGCGGTCCGTCAGCATGTGCAGTGGGCTCCCGGGGTGGATCCCGAGCATCCTGCGAGTCGGCAGCGTGTCCCGGAGGGTCTTTTCTCACTGTTTACAGATACGTCTGCCGTGAAGCTTTCCAGAAGCTTTTCCCAGAGCTGCCAGAGTCCTTCGAAAGACCTTCTGGAAATTTCTGTCGCCTCGCTATCCGGGTTTTGGACACCACAATCGGCGTCACCCCATCATAGTGATATTATGTGTGCGTCGCCCCCCAGGGGCGACGCGCGCGCCGAGACATCTTTTTAGTATAAGCTCCGTAGAGGGCGCTTTCTGGCCATACCGCTCGGGAAACGGTATATTACAAGATGGTTGCACTGTATTTTCGGGTCGGGCGCACGCCTCCAAGGAGGACACATAGTACTAATTACAGCCAGGTCACTATGGTTGGTAGTGAGAGTTTGATGCGCATATCATATCAACAAGCCACGGCGACGGCCGACTCAACGACGACGACGTCTGGGTGGTTGAGTCGGGGTCCGTCTGTGGCGCTGGGGAGGGTTCAGTCGGAGGTGCATTCCGGTACATTCGGAGGTTCACTCGCGGCTCATTCGGGCTCATTCGACCCCAGCGGGTGGTCTCGAAACCGTTGTTTCTTCAGGATTCGGAGCCCGAGGTGGCACCTTCGCCTGCAGCCGCCCCTCCCTTGCATGTGACCAGAAGCGGGCCCCCCCGTCTCCTGGGGGGTGCGGAGAAGGGGAGGGGGGGCCGCGTGTCCTCGCAGCGCTCCCTTCCAGCAGTTCACCCGGCCCGTGCGCGCTAGAATTTGACCTCGGCCAGTCGCAGTCGGCCTTCTGGATTTGGCTTCCTAGAATTTTACGACGGCGGCCGTCGTTTTCGTCGGTCGTCGTCGGTCGGTCGGTCGGTCGGTCCGGCCGTCGTTGTCTTCGTCGTCGCTGTTCGTCGCTGTTTGTCGGTCGGTCTTTCGTCGTCGTCGGGTCGCTCGTCGCCGTTGGTCGTCGTCCTCGTCGATCGGTCGTCGTTGGTCGGTCGGTCGGTCGGTCAGTCGGTCGGTCAGTCGGTCGGTCGGTCGGTCGGTCGGTCGGTCGGCCGGCCAGTCGTTCGGTCTGTCGTCGTCGGTCGGTCGGTCGGTCGGTCGGTCGGTCGGTCGGTCGGGCGTCGTCGTCGTCGTCGTTCGCGGTCGTCCTCGGTGTCGGTCGCTCGGTCGCTCGGCTGCTGGGTCGCTCGGGCATTCGTTCAGTCGGTCGATTGTCGCCGCCGTCGTTGTCACTCGTCGGTCGTCGCCGTCGGTCGTTGTCCGGTCGTTCGGTCGGTCGGCGGGTCTGTCGGTCGGGCGGACTTGACGGCTGTCGCTTTAGTGGGCAGGCAGAGCGAGCTACGCCTCCACCACGGCCTAAACTGTGTATAGTCATTCGACTGACACAGCTCGTCAAAGTTCTCTCTAGCAAATTTGTCACCTGACTGTAGTAACTATGTCCTCCTGCGTCCCACACATGTGCAGTGGGCTCCCAGGGTGGATGCCGAGCACCAGTCGGGCGGTACTAGGACGAGGATATTTCCGTTCCAGAGCGTTCCGGAACGCTCTCGGAGCGTTCCAGAAGGCTTTGAGATGGCCGCGGCGCCCGATGCATTATCCAGAGCCGCTGGATCTCAGAGGTTCCCGATTTATCCTCGCCCGATCTGATCCTCGCCCAGGCCTCGTCTTGAGTCGTGCACGTCCCTCTACAGGAGGAATATTCAACAGTAGTCACAAGATAGTCAGGGGACGATTTCCTTAGCAACCTTTTGACTCTTTCCGAGCACTCTTTGGCTATGCTTCCCTTCTTCGGCCAAAATCCGCCTGCAGGGGGACATGCCCGACCCAAGCCTCGTCGTGACCCAGCGGCCTCCTCGCCCACGCGGCCGCCAGGACTCGGACGACGAGCTGCTGCGGGCCCGGCCGTGTGCGGCGCCGCCTGCGGGCGCTCCGCCCGCCGCCGCCCCGCCGCCAGCGCAGGCGCGCGCCCGGGCGGGACGTCCCCCGCCCAGGAGGCAGTCCCCGGGAGCTGCGGGATTGAGTCGGAGTCGGAGGAGGAGGAGGAGGAGGAGGAGGAGGAGGCGGAGGAGGAGGAGGAGGAGGAGGAGGCGGAGGAGGAGGAGGAGGACGAGGAGGAGGGAAGAGGAGAACGGAAGAGAAGGAGAAGCAGGACGGAGGGAGGGAGGGAGGGAGGGAGGTGGGGGCCACGATATCTCCCCAGATTTCATGGCGACTCTTCTTGTTTCAGGGTCGAAGGTTGAGTCGGGCCTGTCCCTCTACAGAAGGAAGGTTCAGAATGGTAAAGATATGATGCTGGGGCGATTTTTCGATCCGCTTTTGGACTACATTCCGATGTTTTTTGACTATCTGTTATGTTTGGTCCCGAATCCGCCCGTAGGGGGACATGCCCGACCTAAGTCTAAGGTGAAGCCAGGACGAGGATAACATCGGGCGAGGATACATGGGGAACCTCTGATATCCAGCGGTTCTGGAGGATGCCTCGGGCGCCGCGGTCTTCTCAGAACGTTATGGAGCGTTCTGATAGCGATCCGGAACGCTCTGCAACGGAAATATCCTCGTCTTAGCCCCGTCTGAGGGTCACTGCAAACGGTGGTCAGCCAGAGCGCGGGATCTTGCACGATCCTGCGGAGCCAGGGGGACATCTGATCGCGCGCAGGACCCTGCAGAATCTTGCAGATCCTGAAAAGCCCGACCGACCTGGGTTTGCATTGACCCGGGTCAGCGAAGGCAGTTCTCATCTATGGATTTTGGCAAGTCTGCTTGCATGGAGAAGTGGCGGATGGGGGGTAGGGGCATGGTGAGGCCCGAGAGGAACTCTGGGCTTCACGCCATTTCGGCCCAGCGGTGCTAGAAAAGGCGGGGGGGCGGAAGGCCATGCGAGTAAGCATGCCTTCGTCTAGATGAGAACAGCCTCCAGGCCCAGGCGTTCGAGGATCAAGGATGGGGTGCGAAGCTGGAGGCTTTTTGATATTTTGATTTTTCAAGATGTGAACAGATGGAGGCTCTCGATGGAGGGCGAAGGCCTCGCCCAGGGTGTTCTGGTATTTTTGTTTGGGGGGGTGGGGGCTTCCAGAGCAGCCCGCGTCCCCACGGCTGGGTACCCCTTTTTCGTCGGAGCGCACCCCGGGAAATGCCCGAGAGTGGATTTCTCGAGGTAGGATGGCTCAGGCTTTTTTGTTTGTTTGCTGTTTTGTTGTTCCTTGTGGAAGCCTGGTGTTTTTTTGAATTTCTTCGTTCAGAGGGCCGCTGTTGGGCCCAGGGGCCATGCTACGTTGAGGAGGGACGAAAAGCTGCCGCCTGGGCCAGGGGTCGAGACTTCAGAGGTCCGCGGAGCGGATTTGAAGAATCATAATCCGTCGAAGGTCTGGGAGGAGGAAGGGTCAGTGGCATGAGACTCCCGAGCGGTGCTCGATCGTTTTCAGAGGGTTCGGAGATGTGTTTGGATGGTTTTCGACCTTTGTCGAGTGCGTAATCCACTTGTTCCCGTTGAAGCATTTTTGGCGAGAGTTTCCCTTGGTTTTGGAATCATCGCTGACGGGCTCGAAGGTTTTCCAACAGTACTCATGTGGTTCAGATCTATTGGGCGTTCTGTATGATGTTATTAAAAAGGTGGTACTTACTGTAGACGGCTGCCGATTACGTGAGAACTTGAACAACAGTCTTCGAGAGCTGGGGATGAATTAGCTTCTTATGAAGCCGCCTCCACTGGGAAATCGTAGTTCGTGCTCGTGCTGTGCGTGACGTGCATGCGAAGCTGTGCTCAAGTTCCCCAGATGATGGCGGGGAGATCTCTTCCTGCTCATCTTCCTGTTCCGTCGGGCAAGAGCTGTCTGGTGTCGTTGGATATCATGGGGTGTCGTGGGACGGCGTGGGCTGTTCTGGAATGTCGTGATGTCGTACTTCCTGTGCGTCTGTGCCGTGGTGCCGTGGTGCCGTGGTGTCGTTGTTTTTTTTCTTGTCATTGCGACATCAAGACTCAACGAGACCACGACCACTTTTGAGCAGTGCTGTACTTCAAGGGTGCACATCCTGAATAAGAATGTCTAGTTCATCATGGTATTGTTCGCAAGGAAAGGAGCAGCATCACGAGTGACACTACTGAGGGGATCATAGGGCCAATTCTGAGAGTATCCGCGCGATGAAGAGGCAGTACGATGTATTCACCAAGTGGTAGCGCACATCATGATGCATACTGGCGCATTCATGGGAGCCACAACAAACAGTACAGTGCACACGAATGGCGAGTTCACATGCTATACCGTGCACTGTGGCCAATACTATAACGATGGCTGGTGGGGGTCGGGTTCGGATGTCGCCGTCCAATTTCGGTATGTTGTACTGCGTTTTTCGCCGCTTCCCGTCGTGCTGCCTGCGTCCAGTTGCGGCTGACTCGGCTTCCTCTTCCTCCGTATCTGCTGCGGGGCTTCTCACGGGCCTTTGCGAGGCCTAAGGGAGCGGCCTCTTCATCATTTTCAGGGCTTTTGGAGACTCTGCGAGGCTCCCCGGGGGGCTTTATGGGGGCATGTTGGAGGTCTTGGGGGCCATCCTGTGGGGGAGGGCTCCCAGGGTCCTTGCAAGCTCCCCCTCTTGGGCTCCTCTTCGGGCCCTCTTGAGAGTTTGTTGGGGCGTCGTGGGGGCCTCCCGGGTCGTATGAGGGCCCCTTTGGGCCGTCTCTGGGCCCTCTTTGGGCTCTCTGAGGTCATCTTGGGCCAGTGTTCTTGAGGCCTCGCGGGAGTGCTGGAGCTTTCTCGGAGCTACATGCGAAGGCATTTGGGCCACCTTGGCGACCACGGACGGTTGGTCTTGGGGAGGCTCCGAGGGCCACGGGTGCGTGGCGAGCTCGTGTCTTCCCAGCCCCCCCCAGCCCCCCCCAGCCCTGGAGGAGGAGGAGGAGGAGGAGGAGGAGGAGGAGGAGGAGGAGGAGGAAGAGGACCCCCCGCCCCCCCCTTCGAATTTGGACTGGCGCAAAAGTTGAATCTGCTGAGCCTCCAGGAGCAGCCGAAACTGACGACGGTGTCGCAGTTCGCAGCGCCCAGGGATGGCGTTTCTTTTTTCTTGGATCTGTGTAAGACGTCACCTCGTTGAAACCCCATGGAGGTGGCGAAACCGGCGACCTCGTCGCAGATCGCAAAACACAGGGAAGGCGATGTCCCGCTCTGATCTGCGTGCGATACCACTCCGCTGGATCCTGTCAGGGGCTCACGGACGTGGCGACAGTTTCGCAGTTCGCAGCATCCAGGTAGGGCAAGGTCGCATTCGCATCAGCGTAAGACACCCTCCCGTTGGACCCCCCAGGAGCTCACGAGCATTGCGACGCTTTCGCAGTCCGCAGCACGCTGTTCCGCTGGACTAGGACAGGGAAGAGGCAGGTAGGAGGTAGGAAGTAGGAGACAGCAGGATGGAGAAGGAGGGAAGTGGGAGGAAGGACGGAGACCGCAGCGCTCGAGTCAAAAAGAGAAACCAGCGCAGGAGAGCTGGACATGAAAACGAACGCGCGGCGCTAGGGTGAGAGGTTCATTTTGAAGACGAGCCGCCATCCACCCATGTGGCCAGCAGCAATCTTCGACGACGAATGAGGGCGGCGCTGAGGCAAGAACCCCGTTTCGAAAAGGAGCCGCATTTCCATCCGCCTACGTGCCTACGTGTTGCAAGCATTTTAGGACGAAGCGCGGCCCTAAGGCGGGAGCCCCCTTTTAGGATACTAACCACCCTCCGTTGTAGCCGCGGCAAACTCCCAGGCGATTGTACCAGCTGCGCGACGGTAAAAACTACAAACTGAGAAGGTACCGTCCTCCATCAGTGTAGTTGTTTAAGAACTTCGTACGTGTTTACACACGTGTATCTGTATGCATACATATATGTACGTATCTATCTATCTCTATATATACACAGGTTTTCTAGTCTCAAGCGAGAGCTCCGGGTTGAGAGCGTAGCGGCCTCCGTCTTTGGATTTGTAATAAGCTTTAATCAACGACTGGCGATGAGGCGAGATCCTCATTTTGAAAACGAGCTGGCCTCCATTCGCGTGTTTGTTTCAAGCGTTTGCAACGAATGTGCGCGGCGCTGATGCAAGCGCCCCATTTCGAAAAGGGCCCGACCTGAATTTGTGTAGGTGTTGGCAAATTTGAGTATCGGTATGATAAGTTGTGAGAGTATCACAGGGGAAACGCCTGGAAAAGGGATGGAGCAGGAGGAGGAGGAGGATAATGAAGAGGAGTAGGAGGAGGAGGAGGAGGAGCATGATGAGGAGGAGGAGGAGGAGGAGGAGGAGGGGGATGAGGAGGAGGAGGAGGAGGAGGAAGGAGGAACGGAAGGGGAAGGATGACGATGATGCTGTTGATGATGAATATGATGATGATACTGCTGATGATGATGACGATGATGTCAATGATGAGGATGATGATGATGATGATGATGATGATGATGATGATGACGATGATGCTAATGATACTGATGCTTATGATGTTGATGATGACGATGATGATGATGATGGTGGTGGTGGTGATGATGCTGATGATGATAATGTTGATAGCGATGATGCTGCTGCTGCTGCTGATGATGATGATGATGATGAGGATGATGAGGATGAGGATGAGTTGAGGAGGACCAGTGTAAACCCAAGAGGCATTGACGATGTTGGAATAACACCTCCCTCCAAGCTCCCTCTTCATAGGTCCCTGCAAGGGTTGATTTCCTCTGAGGGAACAGCCGCTTTGGAAGACAACCGTTTGACGACCCTGAAGCATGCCAAACAATTGTTCTCGGGATTCCAACGCCACGGATCAACCTGGCCGTTGCGTTTTGACGATGAATCGTGCCAGAACGCCATTCCTGGGATTTCAACATCGCGAATCGAAGGAACTGTTGCACTCTCATAACCCTGAGTCCTTCCAGAACTCCATTTCTGGTACGCAGATCAGGGGAATCTGTGAAACCCCCGCAAATTTAAAAAACGAATG